TTCTACAACCAAATCCCTTCCTTGGGATATGCCCACCCCCTTAGGTGACAACTAAATCCAGACCCTCCTTGAGTCTGCCCAGCCCCTTGGGCGAGTCTAAATCCTAGTCCACCCCCTTGGGTGACTTCTAAATCCAGACCCTCCTTGAGTCTGCCCACCCCCTTGGGTGATTATTTTCCACCCACCTCCGTGGACGTGAGTTCTATCTAGAGACACAGTCTCCCCAATTACCAATCTGCTAATAATCCTAGAATAGTGCCTGCGTTCTCTACCAAATAATGTTGGCTACAAATGTCCAACTCGGGATCCTTAAAATTCTGGTTTATTAGGCGGATTCAAACACTGTAATGAAGTTAAATCATAAACCTTGGGGCTGGTCCCCACACACACACACACACACACACACACACACAGTAGTGAGCTACAAGAGTTAAGTATACCTATCCCACAGGTGCTGGAGTCTGCCGTTGAGGCTTCTTTCAGCATGGTGTTATCTTCCAGAAGGGGGTCGCCGGCTGGTCCTTCTGGCAGGTTGGGTGCTGGTCAAGTTGGAGATCAAGAGGGTGCCCCCGAGGGTCACATTTCACTGCTTTTTATCTGTCCTTGACAGACTTTGGCAACTCCCCAGTTTTCAGGTTTGCCCAATCCAGGGGTCATTGACTCTCATGGGACTTCCCCCTGGTGGCTACTGGATGGCATCTGTCAGCTCCAGGGGTCATCCGCATGTACGTGCAGGTTTGGGAGTCCGTTGATGAATTTTGAATAGGGCTCTGGGAGCAGCCGATCTGGAGATATTCATCACAAAAGTTGGTCCCCGGCGTCGAATAACTCAGACCAGGGCTTCTAGCCCTTGAACAGTGATGTGTAGAGATTTCCCGGTTGCTACATTGTCTTCTATTGATTTCTTCCGTTGGTTTATCTGCGGTTTTCCTAGATGTTAATTGCGGTCTGCTACTGTGTTACGCATTCAATCACTGATTCACTCACTCTTTCAGGGGCCCGCCTGATATAGGGAAGCAGCAGTTTGACTCCTGCCCGTGTTAGCATTGTTACAATGTATAACTTACTTCTGAAACTAAACACATTTAGTTGAAAGGTGAGGAGTATAAAATATAAGCCACAAAAGTAATGCCATGGCACACAAAAAATAGATAAAAATACCAAAATACAAGGGGAGATATAAAATGCACACACACAAATTTTAAAACACAATTCCTTATCTTAAAGTGAAAGAAAGAGGAAGGAAGAAAAGGTAGAAGAGGAAAAACATATCCAAGGAGGGGAGAGCAACTGCAAGCAAGAGGAAAAGGGGGCTTTCTGCTATACCGGGAGCTCAGTGCCAGTGCTGCCACCTAAGGTAGGTACTCGCCTGCCCACCGCTGCAGTGGCGGGGGAGGGGGGGCACAACTCCACACTGCCACCACCCTCACTGCTGCTGGGTGAGCAGCCTCACCTTGCCATGGCTTCTCCCTGAGCTTATCCACCCTTCTGCAAGAGATCTAGCCCGCTGGGCCACAGAGGCCTCCGGGGGAAGGGCAGCGGGGCAGGAAGCCATGAATCCCACAGCAGGCGGCCTACATCCTCTCCCACCCCCATGGGCTCCACTCAGCTCCACTCCATACATGCCACCCACGGGGGTAGAGTGAACCAGGCTCAGGTGCTGCTGGCTGGCTGCAGCTGGCACCCACAGGTCAGGGAGCAGACAGGTTGCAGCCACTGTGTCCTGTAGCTTTGGCAGTTGGGAGCCCCCTTTGTTACGGCTAGGGGGAGTGAGGGGCTGCGGATTGGGAGTGAGGGGAACTGGCAGGGCCAGGAGGCTGCAGGTCTGGACTGAAGGGCACCAGCAGGGCTGGGGGGGCTGTGGCTTGGAAGCAAGGGGCAATGGCATGGGCAGGGGAAGGGCACTGGCAGATCAGGGCTGCTCAGCACCACAAAGCAGCGGAGGAGGACAGCTGCAGTTGGACCTGCATCTTGGTGATGGAAGGGGGCAGCAGGAGCTCAAATAAAAAAAACCATAAATAAATGCTAAAATATACAGGTATTTAGAATTTATTATATTATAATGACTGAGGCACTGGTAGGCTTCCAATCTGTATATATATATATATATATAATGAAATGCCTGTATACACACACATACATATACACACACACACATATACACATAGACATTTCATTTTAATCACAGAAAAATGCGGATGTTGGGGTTTTTCAACCAGAGAGTTGTGGGGGGGAGGGGAGAAATTAATCAGAGAATCTGATTTTTAAACACAGAAAACCAGGATCCCCGGTCATGAGGTCATCTAGTTCAGCCCCTTGCTCAAGGCTGGATTATGCCTGACTAAACTATGCTATGTTCCCAAGTTCTGGTTCCTGCTCTCAGAACTGGCCTTTTCATACTGGAGTAGATCAATGACATCCAATTCTAGGATGTTAACACAAGGGATTAATTTGCATCCTCTAGACTCTTACCCACTACCACTCTCCTCATTGCTCCACCTGCTACAGCAGCTGCAGTCTCCAGGCTCCCCCTCCCTGCTCTGCTTCCTGACCCCGCCCCAAGAGCAGAAAGGTGCAGAGGCCAGTGCAGCAGAGGGCAGTGGGGGAGCACATGGAAAAAACCACATGGAGTGATGAAGAGAGATGCAGATCATTTTCCTGCTTATTGCTAAAGCCTTCTAAAACATCATTTCTGTTTTCCAGAATCCTCAACCCTCTCCTTACTTCTCTTTAGAGCAGGCTATCCAACTTCTCAGTGGCCAGGGGCCACATACCACATGGGCTGCACCAGCAGGAGCTAAACAAGGAGGAGCCACTGGCCTCCTGCCGCCCAACATGCGCAGGTAGCCTCCCCTTCGCACCATGTGTGCAGGTAGGCCCCTACACCCCTGTTGCACTGCATACCTGGGCATCCCCCTACTGCACTGTGCACCGAGGGCCTCACCACTGCACATATATGCAGACCCCTCCATCCCCCGCACCACTGCATTGTGCATGCAGGTAACTCCTTCCCTGTACTGTGTGTGCCAGAGGCCTCCAACTCAGTTCCCCAGCCACAGGCTTCCCTGCCACACCATGAGATGGGCTCTCTTGGTGCCACTGGCTGTTCTGCCCTACCCTGTGGGGTGCAGACAGGAAGTGAATGCTGGTGGGAGAAGGGGGAAACCTTGGAGCCCCAGTTGTGCTGCCACAGGAATTATTGGGAGGAGTAGTGGCTGTGTGGGAGCCCCAGGGGCTGCTGTTTAACCCGTTGCAAGTCACATGTAGCCCATGGGCCATCAGTTGGACAGCCCTGCTTTAGAGTATATTTTCTCCTCCTGCCACTTGAATCATGCCAAGTTCTGGTCTCCCTTCCTATCACAGTCAAACTCTGAATGCTCACAGTTCTCCATTTTACTTTAACTTTCCTCTCCTTTACTTTACTTTCTTCTGTCCTACTCTGCAAACTTTGCTAAATGATAATTGATCCCAATCAAAGCTACAGATTTGCGTGTCCTTCCTTACAACTGGATGAGTCTTCATTCTCTAATGACCTTCTCTTCTCCAGCTTGCTGCCTATTACAATTATTTTCTACTCGGGCTTTCACTGATATTGTACTGTACACCTGAATACATCTATATCCATACTACCATGTTAACCATGAGCAGATCCAGGATTGCAGTGATGGGGTGTGACCCCCCCAAGAATTTGGTGCATGAACAGTGAAGGGAGTGTATGTGTGTCTCACAACTAAAGGGGATGTGGCCACAACCCCTTGCTGCGATCCTGGATGCTGGGAACTCTGCATGTACTGTAAGCTGTGAGCTCATTGGCATTGGGTCTGCCTTGAGTCCCTGCTTTGAAGCAGCTCTGGAGCCTGCTGCCATTTTGAGAATGCACTGTACATGCAGTGCACAGCCAAAGGGACGTGTGACTGCACCACTCCTGGATCTACCCCTGCATAATATACTGTGGACTACAACAATTATAGTTAAATACTGTTCCCTTTCTTATCTATATCAGTAACAGAGAAATCTCAAAGAAAGGTAAAAATGCTGAGACTGTTCTCTCCCAGGGTGTAGAATCACCTTTCTAGAATGCTGTCTTTTTTCCTGTTCTTTCAAAGGTAAATTCAAGAACCCGATGGCAAGAATAGCTGTTACCAGTAAATTAATATCAGAAATCTGCTTAAATGAAAATGTGTGGGATATATCAGATCTTTAAGCACAGTCTCTAGAGGGCAGTAGAATGTCATTTAAATTCATGATGATCAGTCATCACTCTGTCTTCAATGATTTGAGAGCAGAATGCCAAATGCACTGAGACACTTTCCTTTCATATGCTGCACCCAAACAGTATTTTCTCTGCTTATTACATTTCCCTATCTAAAAGCTAGTCACATATGCACAGATTTTTCTTTTCAGATCTGCAGTTATTATACCAATTTAATAAGATATACAAATGAAAAAGATCTGAACTTTCTTTATTGGAATATTAGAACAATTTCAATCATTCCCTTAAGATCTGTTCAGTTTTCCAAATATTCTATCCTTTAAAGGGGCTACTGATTTGCCTGGACTTCTTTATTTTGCCTTTTGCAGCCTGCAAGAACAAGTTTTACCCACACCCTGTCCTGCATTTGAAATCAGTGGGTTTTCACAATGCAAGAAATGAAAGATAAAGCCCTTCCTTTATCTTTATTATTAATGTCTGCAGGAGTACTCAATGGTGCTGTACTGTACCCTTGCTCCTATATCTGCACCCAACCCAGCTGTACCGTATACATCAGCAGAAAAGGAAACAACTGCTTATGAAAGAAAGAAACAAATTAAAGAACTTTTTTCTATGTAGTGTATTTTTAAATACTTTATCCTTATGACAGATTTAAAACATTTTTTAGCATGTATAGTGCACTGTCACGCTGACTATTAAAAATTCTGTGGCTTGTAGAAAGCATAATACAGCATCTTACTTGTGAGATAACTGCTCTACTAACAAAGCAGTCATAATTAAAACCCACCTCAAAGTCCACTCTGGGAACAGCAAGTGCATCAGAGAGCTGCTGCTGATAGCTTTGTCGAATTTGGGCTTCTCTCTGAAATTTAAAATTTTTAACTGATTACTGAAATTGTTTTACTGGTTGCTTAAAAAGTCCAGACTATTAAAAACCATCATTACTATTATTTCTTCTTTTTCTACTGAGGAAAATCTAAAAGATGTCCAAACTCTCAAATTAAAAATATATACATACATAAAGTTACTAGATTAGTGTCCCTAGGATATTTTGTCATCTTTTTGCTTATAACATTGAAGTGCAAGAAACTCTTTTCCATGTTTAGCTAAATAATACTACACACACCCATGTGCATGCACATGCATATACACTTTAGAGACCTGTATGCAAAAACTATTACATTTTCCCTAACAAAAAAACTAACAATTCCCAACAAACTTAGATATGCACAAAGCTTATACATATGAAAATGGCTTATTTACAAAGATCTTACTATTTTAATTACTGGATGTGTCAAGTGTTTGAAAACTGGAACTTCTTATCATTTAAAATGTTAGTCATGTAATTTATTTATTAGATTTATATGCCACTCTTCCCAAAAAAGCCTGAGGCTGGCTTACAATAAAATACAAAAATAATTTATAAAAGCAGCTTAAAAATTAAATAATAGATTGAGGTATATAAAACACTTTCCCAAACAATATCCCAACTTAATCTTGCTCGCTGAATGGCTATCCAAATGAAAGCATATTGAAGCACATTTTGAAGACGTCCAGGTTCACTCTTTGAGGAGCCACACAGGGGAA